TTTTCAAAAAATATATTTTTTGCACAGAAAGAGAAAAGATGCTCCGATTTTGCTCCAACTTTGAACATCCTAATATTTGCGTCAGTGCTAGTGTGAGTGTCAGGTGTGTAAAATGGACAATATCGGTCCACTCCATCAAGTACCTCCCCCACCAATGGGCAAAATTTGGAATAATTACAACTCTTATAAAATGTGATGTAAAAAGTCGAAATTTGCAAAAAAAAAATATATAGAACAGTGTTTGGCTTGCTTGTTTGGGATACCATAGTATTTTGTTGTTGCAAAATCGTCAGGCAAAATCCCATTATTGTTGTTTTTATAAAAACAACGTTTGTTTATTAGTGGAGAACGATGGTAATGTTTACCAGGGGGTAAAAATAACTTCTATGACAAAAAACATTTTTTACCCAAGTGACGAGATCGTAAGCTCAATAGAAGAGGAACAAAAGAATTAAATAAAACTAAAATTCTTTTGGAAAATCTTCTAAATCTTACAACCGCACTTATAAACATTTACATCTTTCTCCACTTGTTATGCTTTCGTTCAACCTGAACGAAGTAACATAACCATGTAAGTTTGTTTTGTCGTTACAACAAAAACCCCTTCGTCGACCGTGCCTGTGTCTATAGAATATCCCAGACAAGAAACAAGGGAACTGATGAGGATTGGTGGCTCTTTCCGAAACCTAGGTATTCCCTGCCTTACCCCCTGGTAAACATTACCATCGTTCTCCACTAATAAACAAACGTTGTTTTTATAAAAACAACAATAATGGGATTTTGCCTGACGATTTTGCAACAACAAAATACTATGGTATCCCAAACAAGCAAGCCAAACACTGTTCTATTAATAGACACAGGCACGGTCGACGAAGGGGTTTTTGTTGTAACGACAAAACAAACTTACATGGTTATGTTACTTCGTTCAGGTTGAACGAAAGCATAACAAGTGGAGAAAGATGTAAATGTTTATAAGTGCGGTTGTAAGATTTAGAAGATTTTCCAAACGAATTTTAGTTTTATTTAATTCTTTGGTTCCTCTTCTATTGAGCTTACGATCTCGTCACTTGGGTAAAAAATGTTTTTTGTCATAGAAGTTATTTTTTAAAATAACTTCTGGGGAGAATATCCCAGACAAGAAACAAGGGAACTGATGAGGATTGGTGGCTCTTTCCGAAACCTAGGTATTCCCTGCCTTACCCCCTGGTAAACATTACCATCGTTCTCCACTAATAAACAAACGTTGTTTTTATAAAAACAACAATAATGGAAAAATATATATTTTCTGCACAGAAAGGAAGCAATAATTTAATTTTGCAAATTCTAATATTTGCCTCAGTTCTAGGTTTCGTGCCAAATGGATAAAATTGGTCCATTCCGTCAAGTGCCTCTCCACCCCAGGATGACTGTTGAACTGTTTAGTTTCATAAGTTTCAAATCTGAGTCAAAATCCCCTTAATACTTCATTTTTCTGCGGACAGTTTCAAACGTAGTAATATTCTACAAAAAATTTAATTGCGGATTTTAGAACCAAAAAAAAAAATCGTATATTTAAATATACCATAAAAAATATCACCAATTTTGATTAATAAAAAACTTTTTTTAAAATTCGAAAAATTTAGTTTTTTCCGAATTCGGTGTACATTTTGGATATCGTCCCCTATATAAAGATGTCCCCTAATTTTAGCTAATGCAAAGGTTATGGCCTTTTTTGGTTAAAAATAGGTATTTTGGTTTCTTCGGTTGTAGATGAGGTACGAAAAGAAGTGTCCCGAAATTGTCTATTTTCACACCTGACGTAGCTCCGATGCAAATATTAGGATTTGCAAGGTTTGAAGAAAATTAGATTATCCCTTTTTCTTATGAGGCAAATTATTTTCTTGGAAAATTTTGAACTTGAAAAAGTGTGATGTTCCAAATTTGGACTAATTCAGAAACGGATTTGGTCCAAAGATACCTAGGGTCTGAAAACGTTAATTTCGACGTTATTTCGACGAGGCACGTTTTGGCTGTATCAAATGATGTATACCCTCTGCAGCCATTTGGCTGAGGGTATAAAAAGGGTATCTGATATAAACTTATAGCTTCAAAGGAATTTATTGAATTCCTAGCATTCCTACGATCTCTTGTTAGAAAGGACACGAATACATTTTTGATGAGTTGGTGGGTTACAAATTCCTCATTGCTGTCAATAATATTGCTGAAGACGCAATTTACCTAAAATGCAAGAAGACCTAATGTTCCTAGTCTCTGGCAAAAACTTGTAATCTGTATGAACCGAATAGTTCGTTAAAAGATAATGTAAAAAAGCAGAACTCAGACTTATTTGTTAATTCTTGTGAACGGGAGTGGTCGAAGAGTGAGCACTGTATATGGAGTTTATTCTCCACTCTTTTGTTTTATGTGAGAGTGCTCGGCAGTTACTGTTACTTAAAAAAAATAGAGCGAGAGTGGAAATCCTCGAAATAGAGTAAGAGTTTACTAGTTTGTGTGTGTTTAGCACTAAAGAGATTTTGAAGAGAATCAGGGAAGGAGATCATGTACAAAATCGAAGAAGAGAAAAAATTTCAGAATCGAAGGCAAGGTAAATGTTATCTACAAAAACAACAAAGCAATCATAAGATTAGATTGGCGACAATGCTCTTCAGTGGTGTTTCATTTACAGTTGGGTATGAAAAAATGATGGAAGGTTACAAGTTCGAGACTCTTCGTCAGTAAACGAAAAAATATAAAAAAAAAAACTAAAATTCTGCTCACCTAGAGCAGAGTCTGCTCCACTATTAATGAATTTTGCTCTCACTCAGAAACGAGAAAAATTCGTATTCGAACGACATTAAACTCTGTCTGCTCCCAGGAACGCTCCTGCTCAATTTCGAGTGAGTTTTACTCTTTGTACAAATACGAGCGAGTTTTTGGAAGATCTGATTTTAGGAGGATGACTCCAACGATAAAATATATTTGTTATGAAACTTATTTTTAAACGAATAACTATTTCGGAATTTTGAAACACTCGTCTATTGAGTTTAAATGTCACTATCAAACTGATAGTGACATTTAAACTCAATAGACGAGCTTTTTCTTTAAAAATATCCCTGAAGATGATTTCCGGAGGAAATCGAAATATTGGATGAATAATAAAAAAGGAAAAATTCAAAAATAAAAACATAGTTTTTTAATGACCTTAAGCCAAGCAATTAACCAAACAAGTAAAATAAATATAACAGGTCAACAATATACAACAACAACATTTTGAAACACTTTTGCTGTGTTCTAAGACGAAAATTGGAATTTTATTTCGAACAGTAGAATGATAAGACCACATAAAAATGGAGTTTTTGTACCCTACACCACAAGGTGGTCAGGGTATTATATCTTTGTGCATTTGTTTGTAACAGGCAAAAGGAAACGAGATAGACCCATAGTTCCTTTTGATGATCTGCATAGAATTACTTTCTGAGTTGATTTATACATGTCAGTACGTCTGTCCGTATATCCGTCTGTCAATGTATTCTTGTGAACAAAATGCAGGTCGCATTTATTATCTGATTCAAACAACATTTGTTTGTCCTAAGGGCGGAGCTTATTGAAATTGGAGATAATCGGTAAAAATTTAGATATAGCTCCCATATATATCTTCGTTCGATTTGCTTTTTATTGTGCACCAAACATGTAATATCAGCCCGAATAGTATGGAATTTTGCACATACAACCAAATTATGCCTGAAAATAAGTATGCCAAATTTGATCGAAATCGGTTCAGATATAGCTATAGCTCCCATACATATTTTGTTCATCCGATTTGTTACTTTTTTTCCTCCCCAGCCGTAATATGCACTCTGTAACAACAATATTTGGGGAAATATACCAAATGCAGCTCAGAAATATCTTTGCTAACTTTTATCGAGATCGGTTCAGATTTGGATATAGCTCCCATATATAACTTCGTCCGATTTACTGTTTATTGTGCACCAAACGTCTAGTATTTGCCCAAATGGGATGGAATTTGGCACATACGACCGAATTGAGTCTAGAAGGTAGTATGCCAAATTTGGTGAAGATCGGTTCAGATATAGCTATAGCTCCCATATATTGTTCATCCGATTTGTTGTATTTGTTACCCACAGCCGTAATATGCACTCCGTAACAACGATATTCAGCTCAGAAATATCATTGCCAAATTTTATCGAGATCGGTTCAGATTTGGATATAGCTCCCATATATATCTTTATCTGATTTCAAATTAATTGTGCACCAAATGGGCAATACAAGTCCAAATTTAAAGGATACAAATGCTTCGGCATATTTAGTCCTTGGAACTTTAAATTATAATCATAGCGTGTATGATTGAATTCTCCCATAAAAACTTTTAATTGTTATGTGGAGCTCAACTAAATTAGCAAAGTTGTGTAGGGTATCATAAAATCGGCCCCGCCCGACTTTAGGACTTTCTTTACCGTTTTTTTTTTTTAATTTTTGAAGAAGAGGTCCCAAAAGACTTATTTAATGATTCGAGTGAGGATTCATTTGTTTTAGACAGATATACCCCGGATTTTTCACAGCAATAGCAAAGATTCTGAGAAATCTAAAACGGCTTTTTCGGAGGAATGTAAAAATGATCGGAACTGGTTACCTTCCGATGTAAATTTACATAACGCCAATATACGTAAAACATATTTTTAGCTCTCATTTTATAATCGACAGTGCAACAAAAAAACACAAATCTTACATATCCAAATTTCGAAAAACTTCACCCTTATATCATCCATTTCAAATTTTTGTTGGCTGAACCCTCTAATTTTGTTCTTTAAATAATTTAATAATTCAAAATTTTTTTCACATTTTCCAACTACAGAGCCCACTGTGCATCACACAATAAACGTCTATGCATGTGTGAGTGTTCCCCCCTCCCCCTGTTTCATTGTTCATCATTATCAAATGAATGGGAATTTCGAAATGCAATTTACGTTGTGTTGCGTTGTGAACGAAGGGAGACGACTTACCCGCTTTGCAAGGATCCATGTAGATGTCATTCGATATCTTCTTCTCGAATTTGGTGTGCAACAAATCCTCAATGGAAAAGCGGCTGCGGTAAGAATGGCCATTCCATGGAGTTTGATTAGGATTTCTGTCATTGCCACCAATATTCTGGGCCTTGGCCTGATGAGGGTAATGCGGGTGGTGGTTGCGTTCCGTAATGATGGGAATTTCATCCTGTGCCAATGGCTGATTATTATGGTCAACAACACCTTCCTCAGAGAGCAGTGACGGTTGTTGTTGTTGCTCTACAAATTCCTGTTGAGACTGATAATGGTGGTGGTGCTGGTGATGATGATGAGGAGGCTGCTGCTGCTGCTGCTGCTGCTGATGTAGGTTATGTTTATGTTCGGGGCTTTCATTATGATACTTCAGCTGTTCAGCTTGTGGCGGCTCTTCATGGTGATGTTGAGGACGTGGCCGACGTTGATGCTGGTGTTGATGTTGATGGTGTTGGTGGCGATACTGATGACCGGAATGTGGATGACTTTGGTGGTGGTGTTGCTGGCCTTCCTTTATGGAACTTTGAATATTTTGTAATGAAAAGTACTCATCTTCCTCCCTTCGCTGCTGCTGCTCCTCCTCGGCCTCCTCTTCGTCGAGAGTTTTATCTTGTTTAGGTGTGAGCCGTAATGTGTTGGCATCATCTTCTATGGCGGCAGTATTTAAGGCATTTCGTGTGGCTGTTGCAGTGTCAAGCAATGGCAAATGCTGTGGCTGACTTTGGTAAGCAGGCTGCTGCTGTTGCCCAGGCGATTCCTGTAATTCCAGGATTGTTAATGGTATTTGCTCTAATTCTGACAAGGACAAGGATGATGAGGACGACGATGAGGATGATGATGATGATGGCAACGACGAGCTGGAATTTGCTGCAGGTGGTGGTGGCGGTATTGATGTTGGCATTGAGTATGTGGCCGAATCGTCCCCATCTCTTATGGATGACGTTGGCAGGTTGGGCGCCACTCCCCCCGTTGCCGACTGCAACGACAGTGTGTTGACATTTAGGTGTGCACTTTTCACACAGGCCGTAATGACAACAAATATCGTTGCAATTATGAACGCTGCATAATTCTTTAGGTTAATGTGGCGTATGAGGCGTCGTTGTGTGTGAGCTGCTCGAGTTGTGGCCCTCCGTAGATGATATTTATGCGTTTTTAATTTTTCCATGGTGTTCTAGGAACTCCCCTTTGTTTGTATGCTGTGAAAGATCTGTAGAGTGCCGTTCTGGTCTGGGGTGTTCTGCAAAGGACTTTTGTTTTTCCGAAATTCGTTCTGGCAGGTCGGAAAAGATGTAGCAATATTTTCAAATCATTTGCTTTTGAACATTTCAGCTGGAATTGGTTTTTGCCCCTGCTCTCTCTCTCTCTCTTTCTCTCCCTCTCTTTTCTGAGGGATGGTTGTTTATTCCTCTCCAACGAAAAATATTTCCCTGTGTTGGGATGTTTCTTTATGGCTTCTTTCGGGAAAACGTATGGCTGCCTCTCTTCTTGTCAGCCTGGCTGGCTGGCTGGTTGGGTAAATATAGCCTGGCTGTCTTGACTTTTGCAAAATTTCAAAACAAATATTTGCTTAACTTTGTGATCCACATGAGTTTTAATTAAAAACTCAAATTGTGCAACAACAGCTGAATGTTTTCACAGTAAATTTGATTTGGTATTAATTGCGGCTAAATGGCCCTGATGGCTGACTGGCTGGCTGCCTTTTTGTGGCTCCACTAGAGCATGGAGATAATCTTCTGGGCTGTGCGTTTTGGAATTCCTTTTATTTATTTATTTATTTTTTTTTTTTTTTTTTTTTTGAAGTAGATGAGAGGCCTTAAATGTGATCAAGATAATCTGAAAAAATAAGGAAAATAAATAAAAATTTGTAGATTACAATTTTGATTTTTGAAAAGAAGAACCGAGCAGCCTAGTCTTGATGGCAATTAAATCCAATACAAAAAATTGAAACTATTTTCCCTAAAAATCATTTCAAGTTTTTCTCGAAAGCAAAAACTCTTTAATGAGAGTGTTTTTGTGTGTGTGTGTGTAAATGTGTGTGGTTACTGCTGCTGATGTGTTTGTGGTTTTCACAATACCACAATTATATTGAAATAATATTTATATGGCATGGCTTTTGCCAAGATGAAAATTTTTTATTGAAAATAAGATATTGAGAATTTTTTAAACGTTTGAAAGCTTTTTAAATATTTGAATTTTTAAGAAAAATAAATTAAAAATTAAAGTATTTGATTTTTACTAGGCGAACAACGTTAAGTTCGGAAAAAATCTTATTTTGGAATTGTTTTTCTAAATTACGATCCTATCTCAAAATTAATTTCTTCAAAAACAATGTTAAGTTCAGGAAAATCTTTTTTTTAATTTTTTTTCTTCTAAAGTTTTTTTTTTTTTTTTTTAAATTGCGATCCTTATTCAAAATTCGATATTTTTTCTTTTTCAGAAACAACGTTAAGTTTTGACAAAATCTTATTTTAAAATATTTTTTAAACAACGATTCTAATTCGAAATTCAATTTTTATAGCCCACACCATATAGGGGTAAGGGTATTATGTCTTTGTGCATTTTTTTGTGACATGGAGAAGGAAGCGAGCTAGACCCATAGTTACTTTTGAGGATCTCATAGAATCACTTTATGAGTTGATTTATGCATGTCAGCATGTATTCTTTGAACAAAATGCAGGTCGCATTTATTATCCGATTGAGATGAAATTTTCCTATCAATTTTTTTTTACCCAAGGACAAACCTAACTGCAAATTTGTGAGAATCGGTTCAAATTTAAATATAGCTTCCATATGTATTTCGACCGATTTCGGGTTAATTGTGCACTGAATGGCAATATGACCCCATGAGCTGAATTTTGGCACATCCGACCGAATTCAGTCTAAAAGCAATTACATAAAATTTGGTGAATATCGGTTCAGATATAGCTATAACTCCCATATACAGGGTAAGATGGAAAAAATGCAAACAACTTCTAAGCCACTCGTCCGACAGCTGTTAAAATTATTCCTGTGACAGATCATTATATTGTTTACAAGCGTACAAATTTATTTTGGTGAGAATTTTCCAGAAAAAAAGTTATTCGTGAGGGAATTCAAGCGCGATAGATTGAGTTCTTTATATTTGGCTGGAAAACCACAAGTGGCTATCGTTAGAGCACTCCAGCATTAAAATGTGAATAAATCTGTTGTGTCTCGTATCATCGCTCGTTTCCGTGACACTGGTAGCGTAGGCCGACGTCAAGAAAGTGGACGGAAGAAAACAGCAATATCAGCAGAAATGGTTCGAAAAGTAAAGAAGCGACTTCATCGAAACCTGCGTCGCAGTGGCCGAAAAATAGCTCGAGAACTGAACATATCGCAATATTTCATTCGGCCATTGAAATTCCAAATCAGTGCAAGAACTTACACCGCAACAGAAAGAAAAAAGACTCAAAAGAGCTAAAGAGTTGCTTCGCTTGGCAGAAAGTGGTGAACTGCCGAATTTGGTTTTCTCCGTTGAGAAAACATTCGTTGCCCAGCAGTTTGATCGTGTTTACTTGCCAAAAAGGTCAGCTGAAATGTGCACCTTTGGTTGGCCACCAGAAATAAAGAGCCGATGGTCGCTCTCCGCTCTTCTTAATCGACCGTGGCATCAGAATAAATGCCGAATATTATTGCAAAAATATTCTGGAGCCTTGGGTACGCAAAAATTTTGTGCGCAGACCTTGGACATTCCAATATGATAGGAATGAGGTTTCTCGCTTCATTTCCAGCGCACAACGGCCACGAAAATCTTCGGATACCAATCCGTTGAACTATTGTGTCTTGAGAATTTTGAAAAGCAAGATTGTTACTAAAAAATACCAAAGCGTCGATCACCTCAAGCAAGCGCTTCGCCGGGAATGGGGCAAAATACCGCAGAGCAACATTCGGGCTGCGTGTGACGGTTTCATTGGCCGTAATTTGTGCCAGAGGTGACCAATTCGAGCAAATCTAAACTTATTCTAAAATTTGATGCTATTTCCGACATTTTTGTTTTCATTCAATAAAGTTTAAAAAAAAATGTAAAAATCATGGCGTTTGTCTTTGTTTCAATTTTTATACCCTACAACACTTTGTGTTGGTGGTATTATAAGTTTGATTGGGCCAAAAATTATGTAACACCTCCAAATATTGATTTCTCACATAGGAAAGTATATATGGATCTTCCTATCTCGCCGAGCTGAGTCGATCTAGCTATGTATGTCCATCCGTCCGTCTGTCCGTCTGTCCATGTTAATTTGTAATCACTCTACAGGTCGCAATTATGGCCGATCTTCACGAAATTTAGAATGGAGGTGGGGATAAGGTCAGAATAGAACCCTATTTCTTTTGAAGATGATCGCACAATATATAGGGGTCGAAATGGAATGGAAAAATCCTTATTTATCCTTATCCTTATACAGTTGCTCTACAGGTCGCAATTATGGACAAATCGACGCGGAAATTAGCATGGGGCTAAAGCTTCGGGCTGGGCAGAAGCCTTCAGATTTTGATGGTCATCGGGTAATATTTAGTGGGTGAAAAAGACTATAATATTTGTGACAAATAAAAGTCAAACTTCCATTATACCGAGAATATTTTTAATCCCGGCGAAATCATAAATAAACGAACAGGTCAATTCTGACCGTTACGTAGATGTCGATAGTAAATATATCGGTTATATATAGCGAAATATATACAATGTGCATATACAAAGGAAAGGAATGTTAGATAGAATGCTTATATCTCAAGAATGGCTGGACCGATTTTGACAAATTTTGTCACTTCAGAATGCCCTCTTGACATAAAAGTATAAAATCTAAAAAAATCGCATAAAAATAAGTCAAAATTGATCGTAATATAGATTTTATAGTATTTTGTGACATATTTTTATTATTTCATATTATTATTTATATTATATTTATTATCGCATGCGATTTTTTCAATTCGACTTATAACTGTGGGTCTATATTAAGGTGTACATTTTGTAATATTTTTCCACCTTACAATACAGGTTTGGGATATTATATACATATTGCAATTATTGTCCGATCCGCACGAAAAGGGTAGGGTTTGGCTCAGAAGGGCTAGGCCTATTGTTTTCAAAGATGTCCGCAATATATTTAGGGGTTGAAATGGACCAACAACAAAATGTTCCTGATTTTGCAGCCGTTATAAAGGACATAAATAGAGACCAAAGGACACGAAATCTCGCATGAAGTTAGAGTTTAGGACATCGGGTAGAATGGACCACTACTTTTGTCTGAAAAATACCAACATTACTTACAGGCGATAGCCGAAATACACAAAATGCGAACTTCTGCCTTTTTTGCTGATTTCTTTGACGAATATAATCTAGTCTAGAAGAGTCTAAATTTGGAAATACAGAGGAGCCTCTTGCTTTTGGAGATGATCGCAAAATACGACGAAGTGCGTAAATATTGGGCAAATGTCCCTGGTCAAAATGCTAAGGGTAATATCTGGGCAGTGCTCCGTCACATAATTTCAAAAGCGAAATCTTCCAAAATGGATTTGGACGTAAGGGGGCTTCTAACATATTGTAGTGTTGTAGGGTAACACATGGTCGGTCCCGCACGACTATAGCCTTTGCTTACTTGTTTTTATCTCACACTGTATACTCCATTCCAGCTTATAAATTTATGTCGATTTTCAAAACCCCCAAAAAATTGCAACAAGAAAGACATGAATTTAAAGCCTTAAATGTAGATGGCCTTTGGATATCCTTTTTCATATATCAATGCACTTGGATGTCTTACCATTGTTTTTTTTTTCTTTCTTTTTGAATGCGTATGAAACAATAAGCCCAGAAACAAACACCCACACAACTGCCAAACAACAACAGCTCATATATACATAGGCGAAACAAAATAATAACTATGTCTAACCAACACATGTGAAAATCTCCGTTCATAGATACGATTTACAATGCATTCAATTCTCTACATCTCTATAACAAAGGCGAAAACATACATATAAACGTTCATCACAGACGGACTCGCTCACACACACACACTCCGACAACTACTAAGAGTTATGTAAATTTGTTGCATTTTTACATTCGATTTCGAATTATCTCGGTTAAGACAGACAAAAAGGTCTGGGTCATTTTTAAACGAATGAAAAAATACGAATTGTTGTTATTTCTGCATCTTTGTTGTTGTTGTTATTGTTTTGGTTTTTCTGATGTGTTTTTTGCTATTGTTTTGTTTTTCCTTTTTTTGTTTTTTTTTTTTTGTTTCATTGATTGTGAATGTGTATTTGTGTAATAAGAAACAATAAATCGAAGCCGAGATGAGAGCGAAACAATAAAAAAAATCGATCAAAGCCAGAGAATACAGGGAAGGCAAAAAAAAAAACAAAATAAAATAATAAAATACCACATCTGTGAAATAGCAAAAAACCACAAGAAAAACCAAAATAAATAAATGGAATTTAATCTATTGAGTTTTTAAAAAAAGGAAGTAAAATTTATTATTAGATTGAAACCCAAAAACCCTGACAGCAGTGGTCTCAGTTTAAATGCTTTATTTGAAAAATGACTTTTTATACCCTACAACACTATGTGTTGGGGGTATTTTAAATTTGATTGGGCCAAAAATTATGTTACACCTCGAAATATTGGTTTCCCACATAGGAAAGTATATATGGATCTTCCTGTCTCGCCGAGCTGAGTCGATCTAGTTATGTATGTCCGTCCGTCCGTCCATGTCCATGTTGATTTGTAATCACTCTACAGGTCGCAGGCCCGATCTTCACGAAATTTAGAATGAA